ACCTCGATAAAATCGAACAATAACCTATCCGACTGAAGTTTGCCGCGTTTCCTAACCAGTCCCCTCTACTAACTATGACCCTCAAAAAGACAACTTTCTCCTTTTTCCTGGCGAAAACAAATTAGCCCACGATAATCAGCGTGTTTCAAACCACTAAATTATGAAAAAATCTCAGATATGAAAATTTCGTTTCAGTGGCACTTTAAATGGAAAGAGTAATAGCAAAACAAAAAAAAAATTCTCTGTAAACAACTACAGAATAACGTAAAGGAAAGTGAAGTTTAACACAGCATGTTTGGCAGATAGTCCTCAACACCGACTTTGATAATTTACCACTAACATGATCTTTGTTTATCATTTATTTGCAGGATCTCTTATTGCCTCTTACTTTTGCATCACAACTGACATAACGTCTTCTAGAATGAGGGTACATACCGATGGTATGTAGTGTTGCATTCGTCTAATATGTTCAACCTTTTTGCGTTTTCGTAGCTTCTTAACAGATCCAGATCTTTACCAATTGTTTGAATTATCCAGCCTTTTATTATCCTAAGTTTGCGATGTGGCTCACACCATATAAAATATATGTATTTCCTCCAAATATTTTCAGCGACCCATGAAAGAAACAATAAGACTTGCAAATCAGATTGACCACAAGTGGAGCGCGTTTAAGGCAACCTGTGATTTAATTCTCTTTTTCTCTCCTTCTTTTCTTCTATTTTCTCATGTGGAGCAATAACGTTTCTGCTCTTAAAATAAAACCAATTCCCGGTGCAGAAGAATTCCAAATCACAGGAATGCGAATTTAGTCAATTCTTGTAAACGTAACCAACAACGTGCTACCGATTCGTAATAACTAAGCAGACCCCTTCTTTTTATTTAAATAATGAAGTTCTTCCGAGATTAGGAGTCCTTTGGTTGAAATTTTTAACTACTTACTGCAAAAGGCTACTTAGAAATCGTATTTGAGGAGAATGACCTTAACATAACAGCTTCCTCCTTTTACAGGCTGTTTATGGCGTTATGTCCGTGCTAGTATGTCTCTGTCGGGTTATCTACCACCACTTTGTGATCCCAAAGACGGACATCTGTTATTGGACGGTGGATATGTCAATAATTTACCTGGTGAGTAGGCGTTACCATTTTAATCAAACAGCTTTTCTTGTTAGCTTTTTATTTACCACCGAATCATTTTTGTTGTTAAAAATACGCCTGCGTTAATTTGTAGCGGATGTAATGAAGACAATGGGTGCACAGACGATCATAGCGATTGATGTAGGATCGGAAGATCCCGATGATCTTACGAATTATGGCGATCAATTGTCGGGCTGGTGGCTTCTTTGGAACAAATGGAATCCTTTTGCTGAAACCGTCAAGGTTGGTGATATTATACAAGAAGCGATTTTTGTTATTTGAAACTCGACGCTATATAATCATAAGATACGATGAATTTACTTCTACTGCGAGGATCGTGCATCATACGTATATAATCATAAGTTGTTTTTCTTCGAAAGATTCCAGACATGGCCGAAATCCAATCCCGTCTGGCCTATATATCTTGTGTTAGACAATTAGCGGAAGTAAAGGAGAGCAGCTACTGCGAATACATAAGACCGCCAATCGACAGGTATGTCTCGCAGGATCATTCACATAATTCAGAACGCTTCGAAGGAAAAGTCAGATCTGATTTGAGGGTGCCGTGAGGTTTCGATAGGGTGCGACTTAGCTGTTTGATTGGTCAGATGATTCATAACTGACTGAATCTTAAATAACCTAACGACAGACTCACTGACTGAGTCTGACAGACTGGCCGACTCGTTGACTGACTGACTAAGCCACCGACTGACTGATTGAACAAATGACTCATTGATTCGCTGGCTGAATTTGACAGACTGACCGACTTACGAACCGAATAACTGACTGACTGATTGACTGACTCACTGACTCACTGACTCACTGATTGAGTGACAACTGATGGACAGACTGATCGGTTTATTGATTGATTGGTGATCGGTTTATAGTGTGCTTGCTTTCTTGCTTGCTTATTTATTGTTTATTGATTGGTAGGTTTAAGACTTTGGAGTTCGGCCGCTTCGATGAGATAGTGGTGAGTTAAATTTGATGTATCAAAAGCGTTTCATTGCCTTGTTATTATCCACCAATTAGGCTCTCGACGCCCCGATTATTGCTGAGAGGAAACAAATTACCCGACATCTTTAGGGAGCATCCATCTAGGAGTCACATGACCCATGCGTATGCTACCGGACAACCTGTGAGGAAGGTAAGCAACCAAACCGGAAAAACTTGTCTTGCACGGCATGGCTTGTTTTTTTTATTGATACGTAACCATAGCAATAATGCCATGACCAGATTCTTCCAGAAAATAATGAGTAAAGAGATGAAAAGTTGGCACCTCGTTCTAAACTTGTTAAACTTTTTATTAATTATGTTAACTTTAATCATCAGGATATATTTGAAGCATATCCAGTAAACCAGGATCACTAGTTTTGAACATTCTCTTTAAATTGTTTCCGAAGGTGTCAGAGCATAGTACTTTCACTAACTTGGCGGAGCATATATCCCGGATTGAACCACCCTACACTCACGAGTGGTTACCATTCTCCTCCTCGGATGAACTGTTAGGATCCAGTTCCACACCTGGCCACCATATGTACTCGGCCTCTGAGGAAGACGACGAGTACGATGAAGAAGAAGAAAACCTTGTTCGTGTCAGGCCAAGAACAGGTTCTCTGTCAGAACACGAAGATTTAATGGCTCTTAAGGCGCAAGCTCAAGCTGTTGTTCGGCACGAAGAGGCTGGATACGATGTAAGTTTCATAGCTGTGCTTTAAAGATTTCATTGNTGCTCGCAGTCACTCAATTTTTTCCCTATTAAAAATTTACCTTCACGGGGTAATTTCCTCCTGGAGAAAAGATGAGATTCATCAAGAAACGATAGGATCCAGTCCCGGTGTTTTTATTCTTATCTACGACTAGTTTACTTTGTGGCCGTTTGGCTTAATTTCATGAAAGTTTTTAGGTTTTCTTTTTTTTTTTTTGCTTATTTCAAAATTTGAGAAGGAAATTAAGATAAAGTTGTTTTACTTATTAATTGTTCAAAAAGATAAATAATTTTGGCGACTTTGAGGAATTCAGTCTTCGCGAAAAAGGTAATCAGCCTAAGATTAAATACAAGACTGACGAAAAGGAATTTTTTTTTTTTTGCTATATGACAATAAGAAAGAAACAAAAGACAATTTCGCAATTATCATTGAAATTGAAAGTATGATTTTGCGGACACAAGATAATCTTAAACACTAAATAATTTCCATTTTAACAGCTGCCTATTTTACACCCAGAAATGAAAAGCTTCAAAGTTCCCAGCCTATTATTTGTAGTTAATACCTACAAGTGATTGTTTACTTGGAATACCTAAAATTATCTGATTCATTATTGCTACAATTTGGTTTTTGAACGAACTTGTATGTCGGCTATCCGATTTTCATATTCAAAGCTTTTCTGCTCGACGCCGATTACGAATTAGAGACAAAACAAAGAATATATGAACAGCATGCAACTAAAAGTAATAAAGTTTGTATTGTTCTTTCACTTTAAAAACCAATCCTTACTCGGAGCAGCCATTAATCATTTTTTTCACCGCCAGCCGAGCTCGAGCAAGAACAAATTGCATAAGTCGTTGCTTAAAGTAATGCACGATCAGCCTCAATTGATATTACTGAAAAGATTCACCCGTGAAACCGATGTCTTTCAGAGTTCAACAGAAATCGAAGCTAACATTTCTGTTTGCTAATGTATTTGTAACAACAATTCACTTAGTTTCATCCAGCCCCGAACGGGATCCAAGCAGTGATAATCCAAGGCTCGGTGAAGCTCAGTTTAGTACCTTGGTTAGATACACGAAAGATGGTACGTTTCTCCACAGTATGTACAATGATTTCCTAATCATTTTTTCATCACACCGTGCTGGAATGACGAGCTTGACATTCCCGGCGTAACGGGGGAAACGGAACATGGAAGCATATAGACACGATGAAGGAGTTAAACTTTTGGCGTTCGAAACTGGACAGGTGTCTCAATGCGCACATTTCTGATTGTTATTAAAAAGTAGTACTGAATTTCTGTATGAGCCATGGGCTTATTATAATGTTAGTGTTTTAAGAAATAAGGAAGGTTTCCAATTTTACTTTGCTGAGAGGTCTTGATTAAGACTAAGCCTATGACACGTAAACTTTGCCTCTCATTACCGCAGCGCACAAACTTTTTCAAATTTTGAATCGCAAAGAAAAGCAATTTGGGTTTTTGCTGTCATTGGAATTCGTTCAGTTACCTTTCAGTGATAATTTTACTTTTCTAGAGTGCACACACATCCTCTAAAAAGTTTAAGTCGCGCGGAAAAATAAAATTTGCGTTTCCGCTGTCGTTTGAATTCGTTCCATTATCATTAATAATCTTGTATTTTGTAGTCGTAGATTTCGAGCCACAAAATACATCGAAGCAGTTTTCTCACCAAGACAAACCTAGGGCTACAAGGGAAATCAGTTTTACAAGCAACAAGTCACTGAATCAAAATCGTATCAATTGTGGGCATGGAATCACTTGTGTTGGTAAATGCAGAAAAGGGAGAGACCCAGGACTGTCCAATGAAGAAGTCACATGCTTCTGTGATGAGTACTGCACAGTGTTTCGTGATTGTTGCGCCGATTACGAGCAGTATTGCCTTCAAGGCGTGCATTCCAGCTCATTAAGATCTCTAAACCATGACCTCTGGAAGTGTCATGACGTAGTTGGGTTTCTGGTGCTTTTTACAGACAGTTTGTGGATGATCTCAGCATGTCCTGCAAATTGGACCCCCCATGACGAAATCGCTACAAAGTGTACGAGAAATTTATCAGAAAAGTCCGAAGACTGTCAAACTTACTCTGCGCCTTTGATCGATGCGAAAAATAACACATACAAGAATCGCTTTTGTGCAACTTGCCACGGAGTTGAAGTCAACACAAGCCGATTCAGTATGAAACAAAGTCAGTTCAACTTGTTAGCGCTACTAAACTGAATAACATTAGTAATTCGACATCTTTGGTCTTTAGATGTTCCATTGTAAGATGGAATCCACCTTTAGGGTTTCCCAGGCGTTGTTGCCTCAACTTAAACGGAGACGAGTCAGTGCATGAATACCTCCGTAACACCAGAAGCGCAACGTGACTGCTCATCAAAATCACTGGGAATTGTCGTGGAAAAGCAAACAAATAAGCTGTATTTTAACAGATACTGCGCCCAATGCGCTGGAGTTCCACGTAACGAGATTCTGTGTGGACCCATAAAACTCGAGAGTTCTCAAAAGCCGACTCAGCCTCCTTTCCTTCACCAACATGACGTGCCTTTGAACATCTTGTTCAGCCCAGACACTCCAAAAACAAATCCAGGTGCTATTGGACATGTACTGGATCCTGGATCAAAGGAGTGCTGAAGGGCCATCAGCATGAAAAGGGCCATCAACAAGAAACTAATTCTGCCTTTCTTTAACAGATATAAATTTTCTATTAAATTTGCAATTGACTCTCAGTTTGGTAAAACAGATGGGGATCAATCAAGGAAAATAATAATTAATACAGGCTCTAGAGTCGGCGTTAAGAAATTTCTCTGCAGAAATACTTTCCATGGACGTGCTAAACAGTACTAAAATGACTTATTCTGTAAATACAGTGGTTGCCTTCCCGCGACATTACCTAAGCCAAACAAATGGCTCACTTACTTGCAATTTAACGATAGGGCATATCACGGCTTCCTATGTAGTCAAGGAGGAGTGGGTACCTTTGTTGTGTGTCACAATTGACATTTACAACCCAAATGAATACTTGGTTATCACAGATGCGGACTCCGCTATTTTTATCAACAGTACTAAAGACCAAATTCCTAAGATAGACTACTGGTCAAACCAAACTGAGTCTAAAAACGGATCAGTTGTTCCAATAGGTGATGTCCACGTCTGTCGAAAAAGCCTCAGATTGCGATGTTCTGGTGTCTTAATTCAGCTCAAGGAAGAGGAATACGTCATTTTAGGAAACGGATCCCTGTACAGGAATGACTCAAAAGCGTTATACGGCATTTATGATTTCATGATGACAGACGGAATGGCTACAATCTGCATCATCCCTTCGTCTGCTAATAGCAACACTTATACGGCAATTCTGGTTTGAACCTACATTGGAATCGGTCTTTCCATTGTCTGCCTTACGCTTGTCCTTCTCACCTACTCCATTTTTAAAGAACTGCGTACCTTACCGGGCGTTAATTTAATGAATTTGTCCATCTCTTTGCTCTTCGCCCATTCCCTTTTCATGACGGCGGGTGCGACTCAACGGCACCAGATTTATTCATCAATTGCCGTTCTGACCCACTATTTCTGCCTTGTGTATTTTACTTGGATATCAATCATCGCATTTGATACCTACTACACTTTTTCCATAACCTGTCGCACCCGTCAAAGAACAGCAAATCGGAAGCGTTGCTTCCTTGCGATTGGTTGGATTCCTGCCCTTTTGTTTGTTGCTATTTCTTACTCTCTTGACCAATCAGGTTTGGTTGCTACAGGATACGGTGGCGCGAATCACTGTTGGATCAACAATACCAAGTCTAACATTTTTGTTTTTGTCATCCTGGTGGCTTTTTCCATTTTTCTAAACGTGATCTTTTTCTCGTCGACAGTTATTTCCATTTACAAAATAAAAAAGCAAACACGGGTGATTGGAGACGCCGCAAACAATCGAAGACAAGTTGTGTTATTTGTAAAGGTGGCAGTCTTGATGGGATTCACGTGGACTTCTGAATATCTACCGATTCTCGTTTCTAAATAGTTTGATTATTCATTTGTTATATTCAATTCACTTCAAGGAGTTTTTATTGCTTTTAGGTTTGTGTTCACAGCCAGAGTGAAGAAAATGTACGGCGCGTTGTTTGTAGCCAACAAAGTATTATCATCAACAGCACAAACTCGCGATACTCAGATATAGCAAAGACACAAAAATGCACGTCAATATCAGAAATCTAGCAGCGTACACTTGTGTTGCAATTAGCGGGCGAAGAGTGAACGTTTTTTTTCACTTGCTCTCAGACATGATTAAGTCTCTATTTGAGAATTTGTGCGTAGCTGTCAATAAATTCCGCTTCCATACGCTGATCATTAAAATGCCGATGTTCTTTTAAACGTATTTTTATACCTTCCGCTTAGGTATCTGACATGAACCAGTGACTTACAATTCACATATAAAAGGTTAACACTTTCTTCGCTCGTTGGTATTGTAAGAACATTAGTTCCCTTCTGTCGGGCAAATGTGCCACTATGTATCGTAAGTACCAACTAGATAAAACGTTTTATGTAGCTACAAGACATGTACTTAATGCCGACCTATTTTGGGCATGCTCCACGTGTCCTCTGGAAATAAGGGAGCTTTAATGATTTATCTATTGTAATGACTTTTCATCAGCCACTGATTGTTGAGTTACAATAGCTGGCTTTGATCAAAGAAAGTTGGAGGCACTTTAGAGGAAATAAACTTGCTTTGTCATTTCACTTCAAACGCGACAAAAAATACAGACAATTTTTTGGTCAGAAGTTCATTACAAACTAATTACCAACCCGGCACTTTTTAATAAATGTATTTTCTTGTAAGCCAGATAACATTTACATGAAAAATAAGCATTAATGATACCTACACTGTTTAATCGCCTTCCTGAATTTATCGTTTCGTAGTGAATATAACCATGGATTTATTCCGAATGAAGAAAAACGCTATTAACTCAGCCCAGATCCAAACAGAACGGAGTTTTCGCTTCAAGCAATGATCACTCGTTTTTAAATGGATAAAAGAGGTGACCCGACTTGGTAACCACGAAATGATGAACAACGCCACCACAAAGCATACCGTCTTGGTTGTTTTTCGGTTTCGAACTCCTTCGATGACGAGCTCTACGCCTCTGGCGTTGGACATTGTGATTTTCAATTATTACAATATGTTCTTTGGCAACCACCAAAATCCGGTAGTAGCAAAAAATCATCAAAACCATCGGGATCAGAATAGCCACTACCGTCACACACATTCATTGTGCCAGTAAATTTTCAGGGTCTGTAACAAAGAACCATGAAAGTTCAAACGCTAGAGATGCGAGCCATACAAATGCTACCGCCATGCAACATTTTCTTGTTGTGACGATCTGATTGTACAGAAGGGCCTACTGTACTGCAATGTATCTGTCCAAGCTCACAATGCACAAGCTAAACGTGGTGGTTACACTCGTTTGAATCCATAGCAAGTCGATGGCGATTTTAAACGGATTATGATACGGACGCCGTGGTAATACACACCTTGCAATCCACAACGTATCCATGATTAACCCCACTAAAAGATCCGCCATTGCTAACGAGCTCAATGGAAGGTTAGAAAAAGTTCTGAAGGTGCGAGCTTTTTAGGTGAGCAACAGAAACACTACGTTTTCAAGGATGGTGGGTAGCGCTGCCACGCCGTATAATGAAGCCAGAGTAATCGATATAGAAAGCTTTAACTCTGTTCCAAAACATGGATTCGCCATCTTTAGACTGGTCAATGTTTCAATTGACGCGAGACCACCTGCTAAGTCAAGGAACTGACCACCTGAACTTGACACCCTTTTTCCCTTCTACGCTTTTGGTTTTCGGTGATTGACACGGTTCCAATAGTACAGTACAGGCGAAGTTACGCGAGAAGTGAAACATTGCTAGGTATGAAAACACTTCTTTACTGTGTTGTGAAGTGTTCGTGTGAGAACGAAGATAACGAAAAGGAAAAGTAGTGTTTACAGCGCCAAAATTACTGAGCAACGCAAATTCTAATCAATTCAGCAGATTGGACAGTTTGGTCAACTCTTGAATGCTATTTATCGATTTTTTAAGTTTGGTCAACTCTTGAATGCTATTTATCGATTTTTTAATAATCATTGTGACTCCATGTGCGCTTTGACAAAAATTTGCCTATGGCGGTACTAAATTAATTTTCTAATCACCCTAGCACGTTCGTATCGAGTTCGTTGCCGTACTTGCGGCAGGTGACGGCTCCGTTTTGGCGATTTTGTTTCCTGTTGTGGGGTGTGTTAAACGCATAGGGAACGTTTTTAGATCTTTGCTTGTAAGATGCGTTTGAAGACTCTACCCAACTCATTATGTAAACACTTTGTGATACGCAGACAATCATCTCCCGGTTGATAATTAGATATTCGGAGAATCAAATCTCGGCACAGTAGCCATCATCCCTGCGTCAGAGGATGTCCCAGTCTCAAACTTCTCATTTGAACTCAGCTTAGCTCTTCATGCTATCGGTAAGTACATAGTAAACAAGAAGAAATTAGTTTTACTC